TCATAGGGGGGTACTTTTTGGTCAGGGTATAAAAAGTATCCGGGGGTACATTTTGGTCGGGTGTATAAAAAGTATCCGGGGGGTGGGGAATTGAATATAGGTTGGGTAATGACTATAACATAACTGTAAATGTTTCTTCATGACTCTCCAAACCAGTGTTTAAAAATTATTTTGGCATCATTTCCTGGCCCCGGGGGTGGGGATTGGTGGGGTAGGGGTGGATTAATATTCCCCTGTAATGTCCTGTTCAAGTTCTGAACTCAATTGGATAAAAAAAAAAGAGAAAAATCATTTTTTTATAGGGGGGTACTTTTTGGTCAGGGTATAAAAAGTATCCGGGGGGTACATTTTGGTCGGGTGTATAAAAAGTATCCGGGGGGTGGGGAATTAAATAAAGGTTGGGTAATGACTATAACATAAATGTAAATGTTTCTACTTGAGTCCCAAAACCTTATTGTGTCCAGTGTTTAAAAAAAAAATTGGCATAATTTCCTGGCCCCGGGGTGGGGATTGGTGGGGTAGGGGTGAATAAACATGCAACTGTAACCTTCTGATCAACTTCTGAACTGTTATTGATAAAAAATTTTGAAACATCTGGTTTTTTCATAGGGGGGTACTTTTTATACAGGGGGGGTACTTTTTGGTAGGGGTATAAAAAGTATCCGGATACTTTTTATTCTGCATAAAAAGTATCCGGATACTATTTAAGCAGGAGGTACATTTTATGCATGACACCGGGCCTTGGATTCATGACATCTAGTATAATCTCCTTGCCTAGAACTATCTGCATCGCCTACCACTACACTTCCTCACCTGCTTAAAAGGAAGATGTCTTGGGGTTCTGTGTCATTTATTCAATAAGGAAACACAGTGTATTATATACCTCGGAAGGTTAAAGAATTACTGTCCTGATTGTATTTTGTGCGATATGTAATTACATATGTACAATTCGTATCCCTTTTGTAACTATGACCATGTCGAGAATATCGGTCTGCTGGTCACTGGAGAATTGAAAACTTCTCTTTAAGAACGTGAAGTGGCGTAGTAGTAGGAGCTGCTGATATTTTCAAGGGTATGTGATTTGTTGTCGTATGTCGTGAGTATGAAGATGCAGGGTACGAGTCATAAAACTGTCTTCCCTCGGTAGCTTGTGTGTATGGTGATTTGGTGTCGTATGTCGTGAGTATTGGGCTCGGCAGGGTACGAGTCATAAAACTGTCTTCCCTCGTAACTTGTGTGTATGGTGATTTGGTGTCGTATGTCGTGAGTATAATAATAATAAGAATAATAATATACAGCATTTATATAGCGCCCTATATAATTTGTAAAATTACTCTAAGGCGCTTTACAACATATGGATAATAGTAATGGTTATAATTGTGAAAACAAACAACAAAGGCTTGCAATCACTTTCATACATTTAACAAGCAATGTGCACATAATTGAACAAATAAAAGGGTGGTATTTACATGACGTCTTTGCAAAGATTCTAAAATGCAGACGTGAAGAGGTGAGTTTTTATGTCCCTCTTGAACTTGGCCAGGGTATTCGACTTCCTAATAGCAGATGGTAAGCTATTCCACAACGTAGCCGAAACCCTCCCAAAGCATCTGTTTCCGTAGGTCACAGTACGAGATTTTGGGACACACAACAAAGATTCTGACTCCGACCGCAGTGATCTTGACGGCTGATACAGGGTAACAAGTTCCTGTAGGTACTGAGGAGCTGTTCCATTCAGTGCCTTGTATGTGTATACCAGAATTTTGTACTGCGACCTGTATCGTACAGGTAACCAGTGCAACGAATAAAGCGCAGGTGTGATGTGCTCTCTCTTTCGAGTACGAGTAACTAGCCGTGCTGCAGTGTTCTGAACCCTCTGCAGACGACTAGTTAGTTTGTCAGATATACCACAGAGCAGGGCGTTACCATAATCCAACCGAGAGGTAACAAGTGAATGCACCAAAATCTTGCATGCATCTGCAGTTAGAAACTGCCGAATACAGCCGATGTTCCTGATCTGGTAGTAACAGGATTTGGCAATAGCGTTCACTTGTTTCTCCATGTTCAGAGAACTGTCAAAGTATACCCCTAGGTTTTTAACAGCTGGAACAGTCTCAATAGTTCTGGCACCAACCTTGAGCTGGAGAGCCATTGTTTGCTGACACTTTGGGGAAAAGACGATTAGTTCCGTCTTTTCCTGATTAAGTTTAAGCATGTTGGCGTTCATCCAGATACTGATATCTGTCAGACAAGCTTCCAGACTTTCTGAGACTGTATTCCAACTGTCCTGTGGTTTTATGACCATGTAAATTTGTGTGTCATCAGCATAGCAATGATAGCGAAGGCTATGGCGACGACAAATCTCTCCAATCGGTTTGGAGTACATACAATATTTTCGTGGTCCTAACACCGACCCTTGAGGAACCCCGAAATCTAGTACTTTGTCATGTGAGGTGGCAGATCCGATGGCAACACACTGTCGTCGTTCACTCAGGTATGACTGTATCCAGCATAGTGCGGTATCAGTCACTCCATAAGAGTATTCCAGACGTTTATAAAGTATGCCATGGTCGATGACGTCAAATGCAGCTGACAAGTCCAGCATGACAAGCACCGCTCTGCACTTGTTATCCAATGCAGAAGCTATATCACTATGTACACGTAGGAGGGCCGTCTCAGTAGAGTGTCCCATGCGGTAGGCCGATTGCATGTTGTCATGGAGACTGTTTGCATGGAGATGAACCTCTAAACGCCGGGACACAACCTTCTCCAATATCTTAGACAGAAAAGGCAGATTTGAAACTGGGCGGTAGTTTTTCAACTCCTCCTTGTCCATTCCAGGCTTTTTAACAATGGTCTGACATGTGCCTTCTTGAAACATAATGGAACCTTTGACTCAACCAATGATTTATTCATGATTGCGGTAATCAAAGGAAGCAGTGCTTCAAGACATTGCTTTAATAGGTCTGTAGGCAGTGGATCAAGCTCAAAGGACTTCGATTGCGAGGTCATGATGATGTTGCGCAACTCGTCCTGGGTATGAAGCTCGGCAGGGTACGAGTCATAAAACTGTCTTCCCTCGTAACCTGTACGTATGGTGATTTGGTGTCGTATGTCGTGAGTATTGGGCTCGGCAGGGTATGAGTCATAAAACTGTCTTCCCTCGTAACCTGTATGTATGGTGATTTGGTGTCGTGTGTCTTGAGTATTGGGCTCGGCAGGGTACGAGTCATAAAACTGTCTTCCCTGGTAACTTGTGGGTATGCTGATGTGATGTCGTTTGTCGTGAGTATGAAGGGTATGCGTCATAAAACAGTCTTCCCTCGTAACCAGTATGCATGGGGATTTGGTGTCGTATTTCGTGAGTATTTGGCTCGGCAGGGTACGAGTCATAAAACTGTCTTCCCTCGTAATCTGTATGTATGGTGATTTGGTGTCGTATTTCTTGAGTATTGGGCTCGGCAGGGTACGAGTCATAAAATTGTCTTCCCTCGTAACTTGTGTGTATGGTGATTTGGTGTCGTATGTCGTGAGTATGAAGATGCAGGGTACGAGTCATAAAATTGTCTTCCCTCGTAACTTGTGTGTATGGTGATTTGGTGTCGTATGTCGTGAGTATGAAGCTCGGCAGGGGACGAGTCATAAAACTGTCTTCCCTCGTAACTTGTGTGTATGGTGATTTGCCTGGTGTCGTATGTCGTGATTATGACGCTCGGCAGGGTATGCGTCATATAACTGTCTTCCCTCGTAACTTGTGTGTATGGTGATATGGTGTCGTATGTCGTGAGTATGAAGCTCGGCAGGGTACGAGTCATAAAACTGTCTTCCCTCGTAACTTGTGTGTATGGTGATTTGGTGTCGTATGTCGTGAGTATTATATATAAATATAAATTCTGTTCTTAGGTATCAGATTAACCGAAACATTCCATATCAACCAAACGTTTCTATCTTTTATCTTGCACGTGACTATATCGACATCATGTTTCTAAATTTAGGTCCGGATAATTCCATGTATTATACTTATGTGTATATTTGTTACATTTTTACATTATTGTTGGCTTTAATATTTATTTTGTTATGTTTTATTGAACAAGAAATTATGATTATTTGTTTAAGCGATAACCAAGTTGTTTAATTCACTGAAAATGAAAACTTTATGAAGACAGATGAACATATGGGGTGAATCTTTTACAAAAAAAGAAAATTATGAACTGTAAATGAGAACCCTAATATTTGAGAAGATAATTGTGTACTTCTCAGTTTATTGGTTCCAAACAAATTGTACGTGTTTCGAAATGTAACAAACAAAGAAGTGGTGTTTGTAGTTTTATTGTGGAAGGAAAATAATTTGCATTCAAAACTGGAAAAAACGGAAAACTAATACGAACTGTAGATCTCGGAATGTTGTTATTGCTAAATCTGTGTCAATGTTTCTGAATTTAATTACATTGGATTGCGTCAACGTATGACACTTCACAGACAAAAAAATGACCATCTTGGATTTTTAATTATGAACAAATGACAAATTCCATGCTATTCCTACATATCAAGCTGCAAAAGATATTGTTCAAAGAAAGTCAAAAGAATCATTCTTAATCGATGCATTAAAACACGATTTAAATTTAAATTGTTCAAACATCACAAATCGTTGCATGAATAGATAAAGTAAATGCATGCTTAAGGTATAATCTGCTATACTGATGCCGGTAACTATATATCTATTTCTGTAACACCGTGTTTGTTGTTCCTCAAATGTGGACGTCAAATGTGGATTGTTAATGTTGGCATCATGTTTGAAGGGTTGTATAGTGACGTGATAAAGTATCATGACGCCATCACTGTTTTGTGTTCTGGTTTTGTCCCGTCAGCATGGATAAACATTTCCCCTGACGAACTTCTAAAGAGATGAAAGTACTAGAGATGTACTGAGAAACTCTTTTTATAAACAAACCTATATCACTGGAAATATTTGAACACAAGTTATTGCCTATAATCTTCACATTGATGAACACAAACATACGTAGTGAATTCCCCCACTTCCTAATTATTACATCAAATCACTACATAATATACACTTTAGCAAGTACTGAAAAACACTTAATATATTTATGAAAATTAGCACCAACCTTGACCTTTGTCTTTATGTTGGTGCTAATTTTCATAAATATATTAGGTGTTTTTCAGTACTTGCTAAAGTGTATATTATGTAGTGATTATATTATGTATACTGAAATACATGGTATTTAAAAAGTTCCAGTATATTTCCGTGATTACAGTTCTTTTACACAGCTCTCTAATGCACAGTTGTGTAATTTGCATAGCCCCGCACCATCATAAGTATACAACACGCACTTGTCAGAAAGGTTGCAACGAAATACCAAACAAAACAAAAGTGGTCGATGATATTTGCAACTTCCTTCCAAGTCAAGTTATCCTCTTCAACATCCGGTTCCGGTATTGGTTTGACCCACGTGTTTTCTGTGTCCAAGCCTGGTTCTTTATCCACATGTTTTTTAACCGAGCCATTTGTTCCGTCCTTTTCTGTATGTACTTTCATTTTACAACGACACCCCTTCCATGAGGATGTGTAAGACATGAGCCGGATTACCCTGCGAGTAGTTTTTGATATCGGCACTTCGTCAGAGTAGTGGTAGCATCTGATCACGTAGATTGTGATGATGACGGAAACGACCGATAGCAACAGGGTCATCAACAGCAGGACAGCTGGGGAAAAGACATTACAACATTATTGATGCAATACGTCACTTCCGCTTGTGGTAAGGTGTATAGTGAAAAGGAATATGTATGATTCAATTTTGCTCCTACATGAAATAGAGAAATAAAAATAATGGACATGGGGCGTCACGGGTCACTTTTCATCTTTAATTTATTTACCAATTTCTGAGATAAATAATATATTGGTTAATTAGGGCTATCTTTCTAGGGGCAAAATTTATTTAGTGCGCATGCGTAGATGCCTTACCGAAGCAATGCAATTGCGTTGCTATGCAGAAATAGCCAAAATATTTTAGTGTTAGTATTAGTGTTTTTGATCATTTAGCATGCAGAAATGAAAGGTTCCTAAAGTGGCAAACAAAAATTCCTTTTCACGAAAGAACATTGGTAAGACAATGTTTAAGCATGTCAAATATTAATTTGTTTGTTGCATGCGGAGGCTTTCAAAAGTTTAAAAGTGTCAAATTAATTTCTTTCAAAACGGCAAATTTCAACCAAATAGCGCACAACAGACGATACTCACGCATTTTATTATCAAAATGCGGGTTTATGTCTCTCTTTTTAATGCCATTTCTCCTAAACTAGTTAATGAATTTCATATTTCATATTTGCATACTTTATATATTCCAGATTACGAATATCATTCAAATCCCCGATGAGGCCGGGAATGACACCGAACACCTCTAGACCTTTGTAGCGTAGGAATAAAGAATGATTCATCTCCTCACACACACCACTGTATACATGGTAACAGGATTTCTGTAAAAACAATAACTTTTCCTCACAGAAGGAGAATAAAAATATGATAAGAACTTACAGAGCAGAGACGTGTTGTCAGAAGTTGTAGGTATGTGATCAGCCACCAGCGTCAGATATACAGCATACGCCAATAAAACGGTGAGGACAAATCCAAGCTTTTCTCCCGATTCTACAGTTAACGTGAAAATAAAGCCGTTCAGAGTAGCCAGGAATAAGATTGGCATGATGGTATTCATCACAAAGAATGCAGGACGACGTCTGAATTTTGGCACGACCACAAAAGTGACCATTTGATGCCCAGCTCGCTCTACAGTTTCTGTAAAGGACGTGGATTCTACGTATTCCCATTCGCCATTCTCATCATAAAAATCCAAATCAAAGATAGCTCCCGCGGCTGCCATCAAATTGACCAGATCTGACGCATAACTCCATGCGGTGATGGGGATCGGGCACTCTTGTGTGTCAAAGGGGTAATAGGCAGGATTGGTGTCGCAATGCAAGGCAAAGTTCCGAAGTGGAAGCCATTCCATGTCACCATTTGCCGTGACACGTATAGGAGTAATGCCGTCATCCAATATCTCAAGACCATCTACTCTAAAGGTAAATAAAACAATAGTATCAGGCTTTGTTTACTGTATCATGTAAAGGGACAATGCCATTATCTAACATCTCCAGGTCACCTTCTCTAAAGGTAAATAAAACAATAGTATCAGGCTTTGTTTACTTATCACGTTAAGGGGCAATGCCATCATCCAATATCTCCAGACCACCACCTCAAAAGGTAAATAAAACAATATGATTAAACTTTGTTTACGGTAGCACGATCTCCAGACCACTTACTCTATAAAGGTAAAAAAAGAGCATAATATAATACCACTAGTAATACTTTGTTCTGGTTAACATTTTACCAGTTATCAAAAAAATAGTCAGAAGCCCTTATATGTAGTAGAATGTCAGACGCCTTAACCACTTGGCCACCGCGGACCCTTTGTTCAATAGTATTACGCCATAGACAATACAGAAACTTACACATAATTATAACATATAACATCCTTAAAATTCCAGGAGTCACGCTCACTTACGTTATCTTCACCATATTGGAGGTGTGTAAAAAACGAAAGCGAGCGCATATCCTGGAATTTCGTGTCTAAAACAAATAAGGGTAGGTAGGAAGGCAATATTTGTTTTTTAATCTTTATCCGGTACATATAGGGGAGTTATCTTGACTATAGCAGTTAAAACTAAGGATAGATAGCATAACTGAACAAAGAACGTTTTTCTATTTGGCCTACGTCTACAGACAACATACCGACATGAATCTGATTGCAAAAGAAAAAGAAAAGGTTAGAATTTAAACCATCAGATTCCAATGTAATAAAATTAGGATTAAGTAGTTGTTTCCCCTACTTTGATATATCAACTTGTTTATATGTGTTTGTATGTGTTCTAATGTCTATGTCTATGCCAGTACCACTGTTTGTTACTGTGTCTGGAGAGGGCTGAAATAGGCTATGCCTGCTGCCCACTCCATTTGTCTTTTAAAAATGAAACTTATATAAATCAATTGTAAAAGAAATGAAATATATTTTTGATACGTTAAATAACCAATATGAGAAGGAAACAATACAACAAACGTCACTTACGAGTTGATGACTACTAAAGGTGGGTACCAAACGGTATCATCGTTAACGCTGAATGTCAGTACACTGGAGTAGGCCCCACCCCAGGCTAGTCGAGGATCGTTCCAGGTCTGAAATACATAATTATTTAATATAGTAATGGCGTGAGCGAGAATCCGTCGACTAACAACCCTATATAAATTATGTCAGCCTCTCCTGAGGAAAACGAGATCACTGACCATTGCATCATGAACACTTGCGAATGGCGAAATAAGGAATAACTAAGTAAAAGAAAATTTACCAGAGATTCACTCCACAGGAAAAAGCTATCACAGAAATAAAACATACAGGTGACATATAATATATTTTGTCTTCATGTGTTGACTCTGTTGAATAGTTTATCCTCGAGTGTTGATATGTTTATTTTGTCCTCGTGTGTTGATGTTGTGTATATACGTGTGTGTTGTCTTTATGGAATACTTTGTCCTCGTGTGTTTGTTTTTTGTTTATACTTGTGTGTGGGATATGTTGTCCTTGTGTGTTCACTGCGGTATATTTTGTCCTTGTGTGTTAACTGTGTTATAAGTTTGTCCGTCAGCAGTCAATATCTATCACAGTGGTTAAAATGATTAATAAATTGAGTAAATAACCCACAGCATCAAAAGATAAAGCCAAATTGTATTACAGCGTCAATAAAAATGGCTAAATTATAGCATGTTAAAAAAAACAATATACTACAGCGACAAAACATCAAGATGAAATATACAAATAAAAGCGTCATATGTAAGGGTAAAATAATAAAATAAAAACTTAAGTAAAAAAACAAAAATATTAAAAAGAAATATTAAAAAATTGTAGTTGGTATCCCCTGCTTAACGTTCAGCATTTAGGACACTGGCTACAACTGGTTCGCCCTTAGTCAGTATTATATGACCGAGAGGAATGCTGAGCAAGCCAACCTCGGCATGGTATTTCAGAGATAGCACTATAAGATATAAGTCAGGGTCAATACCAAAAGATAAGATACACTACATTGTCAACACATATATGTGAGAAATATCAAAGAGTAAAACATTGAAGACAATATAGAAGGAAATAAACGTCGGTACTGAAAGACCCTGTTATGAACCGAAATGGCGCGCATCCTCAAAACCAGAACAGACTGATCAACTGGCCCACTGATGTAAACCGGTTACCATCTATAAGTTACGGTTCAGGGTGCATCTGCACCAACTAGTGTAAACAACCATTATAGTAACCCCAATGACTTGTGTAAACGGGTAACACTACTGGATGGGGTAAACAATGGTTTTAGCACTGCGACACTTTTGCAAGTAAAGACGGAACACATTTTCAAACGTAATTATCGGTAGACTTCATGGAACATCGAAAAATGGTCGGACACTGTGCTGCCCGCGGGATGACACGCTAAATCCCTAGTGGGTAGCGCCAAACACTCGGCATGTCCGCTATTCAACGTCGGTACAGTGTTTCTACGATAGGAAACAAACTTACTTGTATGATAGTTCATGGCCTTACATTATCATGTCGGACACCCGAGTCCAGTTTTCAAGCTGGTCAGGCTGACGATCGGCAATCTGAACAGAGCCTGCCATTTTCTCTAACTTTTGTGACATAGGCGCTGATTGGTCCGTTAAATTAAGAATTAAGAAGCCAATAGCAGACTCTGTTCAGATTTCCGAAATTATACTGCATGATATAAGGCAAATCATTCCTCAAATTAAAGAAAAAAATATGTTCCTTTCGATCTGGACTGCTACCGGCGTCATACTAAGAACAGTTATGACAAAATCGCATGTTTTCGGGAACTGGGTCATTTTACTAGAGGAACGGAGTTAGCAACCTTGATTATAGTATAGGTGTATTGACAGACGAGGCTAGTACCTGTGATTTCACGTGACGCGACGTCACAATGGGTCGACAATGCCGTGATGTCACGAATTCCAATGCCAAAATGCGGAAAAGGCAACGTAATTAAAATAAAATCTTACAGACACATACGATTTGCAACGGTCATTGGATCAAATTATTAATTATTTTGGAGGATTTTATCGTTAAGCTTTTCAATTACCGGGAATTCTTTCAGTTGTTATGAATCAGTACCAGTAAACAGGAATATATTTTTTGTAAGTTGCTGTTAACATATTGGTTTATGTTTTTAAAAACTTCATTTGGTACCTAACGCTTTTGTTTCGAAATATTCCATATCAATAGGCTTACAACAACGCGCGGTGTCCTAGCTAAGTGTCATCTCAAAATTCCTTGATACATGATACTGTCTTGCGTTTAATTCAAAATAAATTGCGGATACTACGAAAATGCAGTTGTGTATATTCAGCATTTGGGCACTTAAACTAATCTCCAACGATCTAATGGTCTCCGTGAAATGACAGGATGTCTCATTGTTTGTTTACAGTGAAATGACA